TATCCAGACAACCGGTAGAGCTGAGTAAAATACATGGCAGGCGCACAGTCGGATTTGCCGGCATATGCGCTAACCTTACCCAAACCCCCATAAAAACACGGACGCAGGTTATACTGTTGGAAATAATTAGTCCACAGCTTTATTAAATTATTAATAAAATAATTAAGGAATAACAAATGGGGTCATTGCCAACAAATCATATTAAAGTTAACATCCCCCCATATACATAATATACCCCTAGCAATGACCCCACAATAATAACAATAGATAACAATCTAAATAACATGTTAATACAGAAACTGGCCGCCCAATATGACCACATTTCCACCAGGTTAAATTGTAGGGGTGTACCGAGACACCGCTACCAATCATATCGATTGTAGGGGTGTACCAAGACACCGCTACCCACCATATCCATTGTAGGGGTGTACCAAGACACCGCTACCCACCAGTTCCAGTGTAGGGTGTACCAAGACACCACCACACCCCGAAGTTCGGAGCCACCGACGGGCTCGAACCTACCAACCACGTGCAACACTGCCCAATCAACACTAAACCTCAGGATGCCCACTTTCTCCTTCATCTACCCTCCGATTTAACCAGGCCATTCCCTGCCACAGCTCCGGACTTAACACCTAAAGATCCTGAGAGACCCCCACCACACCGGAATAAGGCCTGTTGAATGCCTTCCAGAAGGCTCAATTTAAACAGAGCACACCTTACATCCAAAAACGTACCCCATCCCCCCTGGAGTACCCAGGGAGCTTGCCTCCCAATTCGTTGTGTCTCACAGTTACACCGCCCCACATCTGATAAATTTTTTATTAATTCGTCCTCAACACAGAGCCACCGCGGCCAGGTACCTAGTATGGCTACAATGTAACCGAGGAACCATCTTGGACCGCACCACCACCACACCTGTGGCCAGCTCCCATAGCCGGTCCACCTCCCTCTGCCTCCACCAGATCAATTCCTTTTCCGGGACCATGCCGATATCCTTCCCGCCCTCTCAGATTACCAGAATGTCCTGTACAGTACCCCTTGTTACCTTCCAGAAAATTTTCTCCACTAATGCCTTGCCACCAAAACCACCGAAAACCAAAACCACTCCAGCTCCACCAATTCCAAAGGAAAGCCCAGTTGCGCTTGACCCCTTCTGCGCCCCTTAGATGTAAGAGTGGCCCACCAACCATGTCACCAAACCTGAAACGAAAGTAATTAGCGACAAGGCATAGCCCCAAGCACAAACCCATACGTCCATAGCCAGTAAACCAAATAGACCGGCAGTAAACAGGACTTAAACCGTACTGACTCCTACCTGCCTAAACGTTTCCCCAGGTCACTTAAAACCAGGTGGGATGCCTCTGTCGCCGCCATTATCCATGAAGAATGGGCCACAAAATGCCCTGGATCCAAACCCAACATTGTAAAACCCCTCTGAACAAACCCCTGCGAGAATTGAATCGTGACAGCGCCGATCCGTCCCCTTTTACCAGTAAGCCACCCGGGATGTCCGGGAGAAGCAAGTTATCCCTTCACCCCTCCTTTGACTGGGACCCCCCAGTGAAAACCAACCGCCTCGTCCCACATATCCCAAACCTTCACATAGGCAGTCCCCGTGCTCGGTGCCATAGGATTCCATATCGATCCTCCAAGCATGGTGTCTCGAGCTGCTACATTTCCTCCAGACTGGCCTGTCCCTCCTCCCGCGCCACCTGGGGCCGCCATTCGCAGCTTGTCCCCTTGTGCGCGAGCCAAGTAACCAGCCCCTACCTTCCGCCAACCAGGCACGTGGCGTGCCTGCACCCGATATCAAACGACCTGAACAGTGATACGAATCGCCGCCATCAGCGTACCTCCTGAACCGAGGACCCGGCTGGATGGTAAACCGCATGAACAGCGCCGTATTGTCCATGAATTACGACTTTTCGTCCCTTAATCCTTCACCTTTTAGAGCCACGGCCACTCCGAATGGAAATAACTCAAAAGATGCCAACTTCAAATAAGAGGACTTACCTTTCATGTCTCCCGCCACCGCTCCGTGCACCACCTGCCCCGGAATCTATGTTCCCAGAGGCATCCGTGAACAACTCGATACCACCCGCAAAGGCTCCACAAGTAGCCTTCGCCATGAATCGGCTACAGACCCATTCCTCACGACTAACCCGACTTGCGAACTTTAAACTGCCTTATGAACAACTGCGATTTCTCAGCGTGACCTTCTTGGACCTGCGAACCTTCACCCTGAACTCCCGAAGTGCAGTCAACTGATCCCCAGGCAATCGACACTCTCCTACCACCGAAACAATTTCCAGCCCAAACAAAGACGGATTCCCGCAACCGTAAGGTCTGTCCACAACGGCACGGCCCAGCCGAGTCCACACTGCAAGTTATCTTACAGCTGATTCCTCTTTCACCACCCACGCCCAGACGGAACAAATTTCCCGAAGTAGGAACGTGAAATGGAACCGCCCCTTGGTAAGAAGAGGTTACCAATAGGCACCTGCAAACAGGCAACCCAAAAGATGTAAGGGTCACCAATAATCGAACGCGTCCCACTCCCCCGAACCAACTCGACGTCAAGGCCGAATGATGCCAAAGATACAGAACAGTTCCGCATCGATGTCTTCATTTACCGATGCCACTTTCGGGTGCGATAAGTTTTGTATCAGACGGAATTTGCCCGTCCCTTTCCAGGGGACCACTCCCCATGGAGACACCCACAGATCCGCTAATGGCAGGGATGAAACGGACCCGCCATCCCCCCAATTGGGCTTCCTCGCGTGACCACTCGCGAACCAATCCCAGATGTTCCCCCACGAACTTGATATTCGCCCACCACTTTTCCTGGTCCCTCGACTTTGAATGGAATAGCGCCTGTGAAGACTCTGCCTGCTGTTTTCACTATCCCCTTCCTTCACCTCTGACCTGACCCTGGCCCCATCCAGGGCCGCCTCCGTCTGTGTCCCACTGACCTGGACCCCTCCCCCCCGCATGCCCATTGGGGGGAGGGGACCGCTTTTACACTGCTGGCCCCTTGCATCATTCCCCCCCGTCCCTCAGGTATGCCACCAGGGGCAGACTCACCAGGATGCCTCTTGCCGCTCTCCCTGCTCGGCGGCCATCATGTCATACTGGATTCAGCTGTCCTTCGTGCTTTCCCGCCCCCCCCCCCCGCCTTACGGCAGGGGGCGCTCTTCCTGTGCGGCCTCATCATGGCCTGCCACCTTGCCTGATGGGCGCCGCGTCGAACAGACGGCACCGGCCGCCCTCCAACTCCCGCCTGCTTTTTCCGACCTCATTTTCAGCCGTCCCCTTGCCGCCTCCTGACAGACTCTTGGGCTCTCCTTGCCGGCCTCCGTTCCATCGCCGCGTGGGGGGGGAGCAGATGTGCTCGGGGCCCCCCAACTGCTCCTGCAGCCACACGCCACGATTTCTGCCACAACCTTTGTGTCCAGGATGGTGGCTTGCTTGGAGTTCTGTCTAAAGCTGATGGGAGTGAGCATGCAGCAGCAGCAGCAGCTCACTCCAGCCTCTCCTGTACCTCCATGCTGCCTCTGTTCTTCTATGCTGCCTCCATGCTGCTGCCTTCTCCCTCCAAGGCAGGCAGCTTTCATAACTGACAGGTAAGCTTAGGTTCAGTTAAAATGGCCACTTCCTATAATGGCCGGTATAAATACTCCCCTTATGGCTCCGCCCTAGCCAGCATGCTAGCTGACACTAACTTGCTGTGGCTGCTATGCCTACCTCCTGGCTCTGTCAAGGCCTATTCCTCTTAGCTGCGCTGATCCATGGGCTACAGAGATACAACAGGGAGAGAGATAATAACCAGGGCCAGACTGTGAAGAAATTCTGCCCTGGCATTTTTTTTAATCACAGCATCCCAGTGGAAACGTGGGGGGGGAGGGAGAAACGGGCAGAGAGGGGGGTGTTTTGTCATCACCAATGACAATAATTCCCCTCCCTTAAAGTGAGCATGTTGGTTCAATGCTCTTCCAGGGCAGACCTTGTGCAGAGCCCTGCTGAAGAGCTCTCACATGAGAAAAGGTGTCAGGGTTCTTACCTGATGTGGAGTCCGGTCTGCAGAGATATACGCTCAGCCTTGCAATAAACACAGACCAAGGTGACCAGGTAAGAATCCACCTGGCCTGTGAGTCTGTGCAGGGATATAACTCCAAGTCGCAGTACAGGCAAGCACAAGCAGAAGAGTAGTCGTGGAAAGCCGAGGTGAGGGGAAGTCAGAGGTCTGAGAAAACGATGAGAAGAGCCAAGGTCAGGAGCAGGGAACAGACTGGAGAACACACGATCTGGATACACAGAAACAGGAACCAAAGTCAATGAACTGACAAAGTTCCCAGGGTGAGGCAGTGCTTATATAACCAGCAAATTAATGATCTGCTTCAGGTGGGCTAGATAGATAGGAGCAGCCACGGGCAAAGTTCAGCCCCCAGTGCTGGAGACAAGGCGAGGATAACCATTAGTCAGAAACAAGAACTAAAGTGTGGCAAGACAGCAGGACTAAGGCAGAAAGAGTTCAGAGTTCAAATCCCCTTTTGTTTTTTAAGTATAAATTCTTTTATTCAATTTCTTACAAAAATACATATATCAACACAACAACACAAGTCAAGTGACATCGTTACATAGTCAAAACATTCACATTAGACAAACAAAATACACCATTATCCGCGGGATCGAGCTGGTAGAGGAGTATGTCTTAGCTCAGGACTCTTACTATTCAGATATTAACAGATCTAATGGATACCAGTCTAATTTATAAACTAGCTTCTATTTTGTTAACCCATCTTTGCCATAGGTCCCTTCTTTTAGGGGAATTCAAATATGGTATGCTCAGGTCTCTTTCCATCCTCGTCTGAAGGATGATTTGATCTTTAATAACATCCCAATGAACTACTTGATTAGATTTCCAGTTCCGTGCAAAAACAATTTTAAATGCGATAAAACAGTGGATTATAAAACATCTATTTATGTATGACATATTCGGCCAATGCATATGTAACAAGACTACCTCTGGTTTCTTTTCTAATTCTATTCCAGTAATATCTTTAATGAATCTTATCATTCTCTTAATAGAGATCTGAATGTTTGAGCAACTCCACCAGATGTGGAGGAATGATCCCTCCTCTTTATCACATCTCCTACATCTAGAGGTAACTCCAGGATACATCTGAGATAGCTTGCTAGGGACTAAATACCATCTATACATAACCTTGTAGTAGGTTTCTAATAAGTTTAAACATTGGACCTGTCGGCGAGTGTTATTTATAGCTTTACACCAATCTTCTTGTTCTAAAGAACACTTCAAATCTTTTTCCCATTTAGTCTTCTGGGGAAAACTAGCTACCTCATTAATATTTCTAATTATCTCTATTGCTTTAGCTAGAACTTTCGGTATAATCTGATTTGAGAATATGCGTTTTATCATTATATGCAATTTTCCAGAATCTTTAATAAGGTGTTTCTGCAGGAAATATTTAAGCCTCAAGTAGGTAAATAACTCTCGATGAGGGAGATGATATTTTTGTATAATAGTATCGAAAGGCAATATTTTATCTAAATATAATATCTGTGAAACTTTATTTATTCCTTGAGTTCTCCAGATATCTAAGGAGAGATCTTTCATATTAGCTTCTATTGTCCTCAAATTTGCCGTGTCCATAATTGCATATTTAAGGCCTATTTTCTTTTTAATTTCCTCCCAAACAGGCAACATTTGGGCCCATATAATATTATTTTTAATATCAATCTCCATTCTATCTAGAGTTTTCGTATTCCATAGCAAGCCCTCTGGGTTTTTTAGTCTCAGATCTTCCATTTCAATACTAAACCAGCTTTCTTCTTTAGCTGTCCCCGTCTGGGACCTATACATATGAGTGATCACATTTGCCCAGTATATAACTCTTATGTTAGGGAAATTTAATCCGCCATCCTTAGTTTTTAATTATAAAATATTTCTATTTATTCTGTTTTTCTTACCCTTATTAATAAAATTTTCTAGATTATTTTGTAATAGCGTCAACCAAATGTCTGGAATCCCAAGTGGAATCATTTGGAATAAATAATTCCATTTAGGAATGATATAAGAATTAATAACGTTAATACGGCCCCACCAGGTAATCTGCATATTTCTCCAATCTTTAAGTAATAAGTTTGTCAAATCCCCTTTTGGGCACTTCTGGGGTGACCACTTCTGGCTGTCTGGATGTCACGGTGAGAAACGTGACAAAAAGGCCCTGTATTTGTACTGTGCAGCGCAAGCAAATTTTATGACAGCCTTAAATTGAATTTGCTTAAAGTTGTCTCTGGTGTCTCCTTAAGCGGGATGCCAGAGGACAAAAGAGCCAGGAAAGAAACTGTTTGTTCTTGTGAAATAAGGGTTCTGCATCAAGAAATTATAATTTTACAGTCTATTACATCTCCTTCTTTTCCTATAGTTTTGTGATTTCTATGGTTGTTTAAACATAACCCTACTATATACTGGAAGAGGGCTTAGATTACCAATTAGGTTGCTTCTTGTATGGAAAGTTCAGAATGTGAAGCCACTTTTTCTTCTAAATGTTCCCATTATGACTCCACCATCTATTGCTGTATCTAATTCATATGGATTTGAAAGAAGAAGACAAAAAAAGAAGCAGACAAACTTAATCCACATCGTCAACTGGGCTATTGATTTACTCCTTGGTACCATGCCTCCTAGAGGTTTCGTTTATCATTTTGCCAGTAAAAAGAATCGGATATATGAGAAATACATTAAAGAAAATGTGGCAAAAGTTGTTATTAGAAGATCCTCTTCTTCAGCAGGTGCAGGTTTCTTCTTTGTATCAAAAAAAGATTGGGATCTCAGGCTGTGTATAGACTATTGTAGTTTAAACAAAATAAGAGACAGGAATGCTCATCCGATACCACAAGTCAATAAATTATTTGACAGACGTAAAGATTCTACAGTGTACTCTAAACTAGATTTACATGGTGCTTATAATCTAATAAGAATTCGAGAGGGAGACAAATGGAAGATGGCCTTTAATGTGAAATATGGGCAATATAATGGACTCTGTACTGTTTTGGCCATCTTCCAGGATTTTATCAATGATGTGCCCAGAAACCTTTTGAATGCATTTGTCATTGTCTTTATGGATGATATCTTGCTATGCTCCCCTAATTAAGAGACTCATCATCAACAAGTTAGCATGGTTTTGAAAAGGTTATTAAAATATGGATTGTATTGCAAACTAGAAAAATTTATTTTTGACCAAAGCCAAGTAAACTTTATAGGACATTTAATTTTTGGTTCTGGAAACCAAATGGATGTAAAAATAAACCTGGAAGCTTTCTGTAATTGGCCCATACCTAAGGGGTATCCAAAAGATCCAAAAGATCATAGGCGTTTCTAATTATTACAGAAGATTTATGGAGGACTTTTCTTCCATCATTGCCCCAATAACCAATATGGAGAAAGGGTAAACTAAACCAGAAATGGAATCCAGAAGCTATAGCTAATTTGATGCCCTAAAGACAGCCCTTGCATCAGCACCAATTGTAGTTCATCCATATTTTATAAGTAGACACCTCTGAAACAGGAGTTGGGGCTATACTTTCCAAACAAAAATATCCATATCAGATCAGCTTTTGCATCCTTTTTAGAACAGAAACTCTTTAGAACAGAAGGGAATTACAACATTGGGGACAAAATATTGTTGGCCATACGCCATACAGTGAGAATCACGGAAGCGGCCTCTAGTGGCTGTCAGTTAGACAGCCACTAGACCCTGGATTAACCCTCAGTGTAAACATAGCAGTTTCTCTGAAACTTCTATGTTTTCAGCTACAGGGTTAAAGCTGGAGGGTCCTGGCACCCAGACCACTGAAGTGGTCTGGGTGCCTATAGTGGTCCTTTAAGGTAAGGATTATTTGCTGAAAGGTTCTTACTTTCCTATTAACATTCTGATGAATTATAAGAACTTACCTTATTTTATATAATATATAGAACCAAAAGGTTGACTGCTAGACAAGCTCGGTGATTGTCATTCTATTCATATTCACAACTAGCCTAGGTACTAAAAACATAAAAGTTGATGGCTTACCACGCCAATTTGAACCTCTACTACCTATTGAACAAGAGACTTCTATAATAATTCCCAAACAATGTTGTATTGTTGCTACCAGGGCCGGCCTTAGGTGTTCAGGCATCCAATGCGAGCCAATCTTGTGGCACCCCCCCCCAATCTTTGTTTGACCCCCTCTAGACAATTTCAGGATCATTCACAATCTGTCGCCTGCACCCCCTTCAACAAAACCCTGCCCCCTTTCATCACCAGTCCCCTTCCCCCCTTCATCAGTACCCTGCGCCCCTTCATCACCAGACCTCTGCCCCTTTTATCACCAGCCCCCTGCACCCCTTTATCACCAGCCCCCTGCCCCCCTTATCACCACCCCCCTCCCTCCTTTATCACTAACCCCCTGCCCCCCTTTATCACTAGCCTCCCCTTCACCAGCCCTCTGTCCCCTTTATCACCAGCCCTCTGCCCCTTTATCACTAGCCCCCTGTCCACTTTATCACAAGCCCTCTACCCCCTTATCACTAGCCCCATGCCCGCTTCAATAAAATGCAATCGTTATATAAAAAAAAATAAAAGCAATAAGGACAAACACTTACATTAAAGGCTGCTGCTCCCTGTATCCAGCTGTCAGTTTTTCTCACTCCGCTGACTCGCCGACTGAAGAGCACCTGACACCCACTGAGCGGATCCTTCCGACGTCACACCCCCACGCTCCTCCTCCACGCTCTTCCTGCATTCCAATTCGGGCGGGTTTGTGACTGACCGACTGCGAGCTGTGTCGGCCACCTGGCACCCCTGTTGCCATGGCGCCCTGTGTGGCCGCACAGCTCGCACACCCCAAAGACCGGCCCTGGTTACAGTCACACAAAAAGGCATAAAGTCAGGCACAGTTACACAGGCAAACGATCACACACAGAGTACAGTCACACACACACAGGCAGACAGTCAGACACTGTTACAGATTGTCACACACAGAGTACAGTCTCACACACAGTACAGTCTCACACACACACACACACACAGACACTGTTACAGACAGTCACACACAGAGTACAGACTCTCTCACACACACACAGGCAGACAGTAACAGACAGAGTACAGTCTCTCACTCACACACACGCGCACACATGCAGACAGTCAGACACTGTTACAGTCACACAGAGAGTAGAGTCTCACACACACACAAGCAGACAGTCACACACAGAGTACAGTCTCACACACACACAGGAAAACAGTCACACACTGTTACAGACTGTCACACACAGAGTACAGTCACACACACAGAAGTGTTACAGACAGTCACACACAGAATACAGTCTCTCTCACACACACATACAGGCAGACAGTCACATACAGAGTACAGTCTCACACACAGGCAGACAGTCTCACACACACACAGTACAGTCACAATTACCTATTTCACCTTATGGCTGGAAGGGAGGAGTGGAAGCAGGGATTCTTCTCTGTGCAGTACAGCTTCAGTGCCTTTTAGCCCCGCCACTGCCGTTCAGAAAGCCCCGCCCCCTTTTCATAGTCCCCGGTGGAAACTAATGAATCTTCCACCCGGGGACTTCGTTCAGCACCAAAAACAACACTGTAATCTTGAGCATTGTGGATAGGTTTTCTAAGATGGCTCGTTTTGTACTTCAGCGAAATGACCTGCTTTGGAATTAGCATGCAAATTCGCTAAGGATGTGTTCCGTCTACATTGAGTAAGTTCCAAAAGTGATAGTGTGAGATAGAGGATCTCTGTTTGTATCTCAGTCCTGGAAAGAATTCGCTAAACAACTGGATGTCAGTCTATGCCTCACATCTGCATATCACCCTCAATCTAATGGTGCTGCTGAATGAACAAATCAGTTTCTGGTACAGTATCTGAGATGTAACATTTCATAACACGGATCTTCCAGCAGTTTTCTCCTCACAAGGAATGCCTGCCTTAGATGAGCACCTAGAAACCTTAGGGAAAACTTGGGAGCATGTTCAGCTAATTCTTAATCGACAATCTTTCTTGTAGAAAAAATCTGAACGTCATAGACAAGCAGCTCCTACATACCAAGTGGGTGATTGTGTTTGGCTGAGTACCAAAAACATTAGACTAAAGGCCCATCTATGACATTTGCTCCTAGATGCAAAGCTCCTTAGAAAATCATATGAAGTTTGGATTCTGTATCTATAAATTGCTATTGCCATCTGCCTTGCACATTCCCGTTTTTTTTCACGTCTTTATTAAAACCTCTCACTTGCAACAAATACACCAACCAATCCATTACACCCTCTCCTGTACAGATGTAGGGCCAGGAGGAATA